TTCTAAACTAGATTCTACAACCAATTTTATAAAAAAAAACACAAGATTTTTCAAAAATTTTCAAAATTTTGAAATAAAAAAATGTTTTGATTTTAAAATTGTTGTTTTGATTTAATTATGTTGTTTTTGAAAGCTCCATATTGATTTTCAAACATTGTTTTCAAACATAGTTTTCAAAATTGCCCTTCAAACATAGTTTTCAAAATTGCCCATTAGGATTTATTTTAGAGAACCTTGAAATATTGAGGATTCATTTAAGTTTTGGGATTGATATTGTTGCATGCATATGTTTTTAAAATTACAGGTATCTATCCTATTCCTATTTCTTGAACCATGTCTAATCCTAAATGCCCTAGGTCGTCATCGAGTCATTCATCCCAAAACCGACCTCCAATTCCACCTCCACCTCAAAATCCAAACCCAAACGCTCCCGAATTAACTATTCTTAATTCTTGCTTTAACCAACATGGTCGTCGTAGAGAAGATTTCTACCATAGGTTTGTTAATTCATTTCAGTCATACAAAATCCGGGAAGAGCGTATCCCCTCACTTCAAGCTATGGTTGATATGAATTTTCAATATCTTCCTACCCTCAAATCTTGGAAATATGATAAACTGTTTGAGCTCCAGCCCATTGTTTATCACTAATTGGTCCGTATTTTCTATTCTAATGCGGTTTGTGTTCAAAACGAGCGTCGAACTGAAACCATAGAAATTCAATCCTATCTCTTAGGTGAATTCATTTATATCGACTACGAGACAATCACTAATTCTTTTGGGTTAGATAACGCGGGTCTAGATATTGAAAGAGAGATTGTGGCTACACCCTATAAAGCTAAGGCTAGTGTAAATACCTTAAGAACTCATCACGAGCTATTCCTTCACTTGATGATCTCTTGGTGGTTTAGACCATCCAGAGGAAGGTACTCCTCTCTTAGAGTCTTAGATTTATGGTGGATACATTGTATCCAACATAACAAGAAAATAAATTTGCCAAAGATTATTTTTAGTGAATTCGTAGATACCGTAAACGTTGTCTCATCCAAAAATGTCAAAACTTTAGTTTACGGTTGTCTCCTTAGTAATTTGTTTATCAAACTCGAGCTTAGGGCCACGCTTGATATTTCTATCCCTCTCCAGAACCAAATAAATCTCACATCTTTAAATAAATCGGGATGGAAGGAGAACAAGGGTCAATGGGTTCGATCCATTGAGAAAACACTGGGAGCTAGCTCTTCACGAGCTCCTCCGGCACCGGCAGCGGACGATGATCCAGAACTTCAAGAGCTATTTTAAGATATCGACGATCATGTACCCGAGGACGAGCTGTCATAGCAAGAGATTTCGATGTCTCTTTACTTTAACTCATTCATGGAGACAATGGATATGAGGTTTGCTTTATTAGAGTCCCACTTGACTGCTATGGGGACTCAACAATTGGAGATTCAATGAAAGATTTGAGCTACCCGCAAAGCAATGGAAAATCGATTCAATGCTATGGACGATAGACTTGATGCGCGTACATGAGCTGTGGCTAATATATGGGCACGTCTATCTCCTCCCGATCCTTCTATGGATGATTAGACCTTGTCTTGCTTTGTTTTCTTGGATTGAACTTAGGATTGTTAAAACATTTTGAATGTTTTTGGATTTATGTTTTGGATGCTTGAACTTAAATAATTATAAATATATTTGGTTTGGTTGAATTAATTTGAGCTTAATGTTTATTAGTTTTTGCATCATTTACATATTAGTTGAAATATGACCAATTACCATCTCATATTATGAATATTGATTTATGGAACCAATGACTAATCTTTCTCTTGATTGTGATCTTAGCATCTTAAGCTTTATCTAAATAATCAATTGGCTAAATTTTGAAAAACCTTGTTTAAAAACATTTTAGAGTCTTTTTGATTTAACAAAAAGAGGGAGAATATAGTAAGGGGGAGTAGTTTTCAAAAAATGATTTCAAAAATGATTTTCAAAGAAAATCTTAAAATTACTTAAATGTTTTATTTTATCAAAAAGGGGGAGATTGTTGAAAACATTTTGATGTTTCGATATAACAAATTAAGTGTTATTGAATTTTAAGATTTTATAATCATTTTTAAAGTATATTCGATTAAACTATTCGAATATCAAAATATTACTCCAAGCTTTTTAAAGATCAATTTCAATCCTTACTAAAGTGTAAAATTATGTTTTAAACCTAAAATATTTTTTAAACAATTTTACAAAGTATTTCGAACCAAAATCGAGCCAAAAATCAATTTTATAAAGGGATGTGATGCACTATTTGGTGTATCGATGCACACCCTAATTCGAATGCATTTTATGTACCGATGCATAGGCCATGCATCGATACACTCCTGACTCTTTTGAAACATCGAATGTAATTAGTGTATCGATGCACCCCTAGTGTATCGATACACTAAGTCTTATAACGGTCAAAATATTTGAATTTTACAAATAGTGTATCGATGCAGCCTGAGAGTGTACCGATGCACCTACGCTCCCAACCAGATTTTTAAATGATAATTACACAATAATGACTCTATTGACTTCACCAATGATCCCCAACATTCAGAAGTGATCCAAGGTGTATTTAAACAAGCTTAGAAGCCATTGATCAACAACAATTGTGAGAGAAACAACGAGAAAGCCTTAAACATCAAGTTTGAGCTATTCAAGCCAATTTTCATTCAATTTTCATTTTTTCTTTCAAGAACACTACTTGTACTCAATTATATTCATTCTTGAGTGTTCTTTATTTGTTCTAGAATTGTGCAAACATATTACCTAGTGAGGTTTTTCTGTAAGTTTGCAAATTTGTGTATTTCTCTTTGGGAGAGAGTGTTCTCAAGAATTTTGGGTATAATTCTTGAGGGGTTGTAAGGTTACTCTTTATCCTCAAAAGAAAGAACAAATTAGTGAATTTGTTGGAAAATCCTTAGTGTGGATAGCTAAGGTAGTGGAAGTAGACATTGGTTGAGAAAGTTGAACCACTATAAATCGTTGTTCAAATATTTTCAATTTTCTGCAAAAGCTTCCACCAAAATTTTTATTGTCAATTCACCCCCTCTTGGCCAATTCATCGATCGATTAACTGAACAATCATTTTGGACAAGTTTGAGAATTGAGATTGCCTCGTCAAGAATTAGACCAAATTAAGCCAAAAAAGGAGATTTTCTTTTAATAAAAGAGAAAAGAGGGAGGACTCATAAACCAATTAGACCATTTAGGAGCTTAAGGTTACACAACCTTAGGGTTTGTCTAGTTCTAGAAAATATATGCTATTTTCATTTTTATTTTTTTAGAAAATGGATAACGTTGAAGAAAACTTATTTGGCTGTAAAATTAGACAATGATTTTAAAAAAATAAAGACAAAAATAAATGAAAATATAAAAAATGTTTTCAGCATTTTCATTAAAGTTGTTTTGAAAATTTGAAAAATATGAAAACACAAGATCCAAAATTTTAACTTAAGTTGTATTGATTTAAATCATTTTAACAATAATTTTTTTGACTTAATGGTATCTAAAACCCTAAAACTTTTTCAAAAATAAATATGATCCATAAACTTTTTTTACATTTAATTTGGTTCTTAAACTAATAATTTTAATAATTTAATTTGTTAGTATTTTTATATTTAATGTATTAAATATCTTAACAGTTGTTTATATTTTATATTTTAAATTTAAATAATTTTTAATTTAAAAAAAATTAATTAAGTCTTTAAACTTTATAAAAGAATCAGTTAGGTCCTTGGACTTAGCAAAAAAAATCAATTAAGCTAATCTACCACATCATCATCTATCATGTACTACCATAACAAGATCATGAATTATCACATTAATATTGTGTATTGCCATGTAAGCTTTGTGAATTGTCATGTAAGCATTGTCATGGTCAATGTTTGATTCATTTAGTCAAATGTTTAAATTGATTTTTTTTTCTCAATTTAAGGGTTACATTGAGTGTAAAAAAATTCAAGGGCTACACTAGTTTTTTTCTCAAAAGTTTGAGGGCCTTAAATATCACTAAACATATTTTTTATTTTAACAACACTTTTATGTGCTCTTGTTTACAACAATATTTTTTTATGTATTTTTTAATTTAATTGATGTCCAATATGCATTAACATTATACTCTTATTATAAACTAAAATAATTTATGTTATAAATTTTTTTATAAACTTTATTGTTTTATAATTGCATAACTCACATATTAAATTTATGTAAAAATATATATTTTAATATAATAATTTGATAACTATTTATTCATCTATATTTTAAAAGTAGATATCAAATATATTTTTATTTTCAAATCAAGTTTTCATTTATATTAACTAAACACGTTTTGTAATTTTCAAAAAACTGAAAATGAATAATTTTTTGAAAATAAAAACAAAAAATATTTTCTATAACCAAACATACCTTAATTTCTTGTTTTTATGTGAATATAGGGAGAGCTATGAACTAAACAATCTTATTAAAAAATTATTGTTATTCCTTGAGATTTAAGTTTAAATATGATGTTTATCTTATATTCATTTTAGACTAATTAAATAATTAAAAATCTTACATTATTTTTTAAGGCGACGAATGAGAGGGTCTAAAAACAATGATAATAATTTTTTTTAGTCTGAAATAATTATAAATTAATATTTATTTATAATTTTTATTTTAAATATTGACAATGTACATGTCCCACGTACATAATTACTCTAATCTAAGATTTCAACACTTACTTTATCTACTAAAATCAAATAAATAGATTCAGTGACAATGAAATTGAAATTTTAGAACTCAACTTTTGAATGGTATATATATATATTAAAGGCTAAAATTAGAATTGAGATATAGTTGGTTTGGAACTTAAAAGACCAAGTTGCTGGTTAAGCTGTTTATGTCTGAATATATAAATGCAAACACAGAGCTGCGTTTTTCTTTAATAAAATTAAAAACTAAAAAGCAGAAGAAAAAGCAGCAGAAATTGCACCAGAAGAGACGTGGCACAATTTCCCATCCATGCCCTCTCTCTCTCTCGTCCCGTCGTGAACACCGCCGTTCCAATCTCTCTTCCTCTCTTCTTCACCTCCATCACTGCCTAACCGTTGAATCTGTAAGTTTCTTTTTAATTATTTCTGTTATTTTATGGATGCCATCTTTCGGCAGTTGAAAAGCTTGAAATCAGATCAGAATGTGGAATACCAAACGCTGCCGTTTTTTAGCCCTAATTAAAGCTTATTTATATATATGTGTGTAGGCATTTCGTTTAACTTTTGAGCTAGTAAATGTTCGAACCGATGCTTGCTTGCTTCTTTCAATTTTTTTAGTTGTAAAAGTCAAACAAAAAATATGCTCTCGAGTAGTTGAAGACGTTAATTATGTAAACATCCTCTTCTTAAATGTTTTATTTTGCATTATTTTTATTCTAAATTTGGAGTTCGCCAGGTATATGGATGATTAATTGAGGAAGATGGTCTCAACTAGCTGGGTTTTTTTTACCATTATTGGTATACCTCGGCTGAACCGTGCTATTTTCTACTAATTATTTTTCAGTTTTACTATGTTTTTTAGGGTCTAAAAGCATATGACTCTGCATATTTAAAATTTTTAATACTACTAATATTGTTCTTGTTTTTAGCTTCGATCTTGGAATAATGAGGGGAAGGGAATAAAATTTTTAAAATTCTTTTTCAAAAAATGAAACTTAGCCGGTCTAGTGTGGTTTGTTTGATGTTGTTGTGTGTTGAGTTTGTTTAGTTGCTTCCATTTGTTTTATCTTTTCAAATTATGAGTTCCAAATTTTGTGCTGCTTTTTTAACTAAAAAATATTTATGTTTTACAGGAATTACTTGCTGCTTATCCCCTATGCAGTACTTTCACCTTGTGTTTTGAATCAGTGGTGTGAATTTGTAATATTATTCTTTTTCGAGGTATATGAGTTATCATGGGGTCAGCTTGTTGTGTAGCTGCAAGAGAAAGAACTCTTCCAAAGAGAACTGGAGGTGAGACTTTGCATGGAAATCTCACATGTTCGCCATCATGGAGTTTCCGCTGGGATAATCGAAGATGTGTGGCTGATGAATTTGAGGAGCCTTCTTATCAGATGTCTAGTAGAGTTAGCAGAAGTGTTAGCATGGAGAGGAGAGAGAAATTAGGTTCTGGTAGGCGTAAAGTTTCCAATCAAAGAAGTGCACTTGAGATTGAGAACTATGAAACTCCCACTTCTCAAAAATTGTCAATCCGTGAAGATACAGGAGGGAATATGATGATCCCCTCTTCAGGTAAATTTATTTGCTAATATTCGAGTAACTTATTAAGATGCCTTTTTCCTGTTAGCATCTTGAGTGTACATGAGATTTCAGGAAACTTTTTCTTAGAACTTTTGTTCTATGCTCATTTTTTTTGGAAATTATGTCACACATAATTTTGTCTCTCTACTTATATGCAGAAGGCTCTAGTCTCTAATGGTCTCTCAACTTATTGCAGAAAGCTCTAGTCTCTTAGTGTGCAGGATTGCGTGGTATTGAGTTGTTGAATTCAGTATCATAATAATGAACATAGAACATTGTGTATATTTGTTTACTAGTTATATGCTTTGTGTTGTTGCCTACTCTTTTTCTTTGTTCTTCCAATGCAGTTTTCAGTAATAGAGCTAGCTGTGAGTTCCCACTTTTCTACTACTTTTTTGTGTAGTGTTTGATATTGGTTTGTGTTGTTGCTGCAGACATAACAAGGGAAAGCAATTATTCCACTGAGGTAAGTCTGAATAGTTGAAAAAGCTTTTTTGCTTATGTGTTTTGTCACCTTATCTTTTGGATTCTCTAGCCTGATCTACCCCTTTCAGTGGTCTTTAACATGCCATTCTGATCATTTTCAGGCCAAGAATTTGGCAGAATCACCAGATATTGTGGATTCATCTGCTCCAAAGCTATCATTTTGTACGTCTCCACCATTCTCACCACCAATTACAAAAACTTTATCTGGCCGTGGTCATTTACTTCCTCCCAATTCCACCCCATCTAGACAGGCTCACCATTCACCTGTGCACCGGCTATTGAGGCAGGTCTCTGATAGTCGAATCCTTGAACTGATATCACCGAATACTTATTCAATGTCCGAAGGAAGGTCATCATTTGTGCTCCCCACATGTAGCAATGACTTGACAGCTGGATCTTATGGTGGCTCTTCTGATGGATGGTCCATGCGCACGTTTTCTGAGCTTGTGGCCTCTTCTCAAAGAGAAAGATGGTCTCTTGATAGTGAACACTTTGATTCTGGTGATGGCAAGATGAGTCGATGTAGCAGCAGGTTCTCATATTCTCCATTCATAGATACTCGTTCTTGTGGGGCTTGCTCGAAGCTTTTGTCTGAGAGATCGTTGTGCGGCAATGATATTTCAGTGGTAGCCGTACTTGTCTGTGGACATGTTTACCATGCTGAATGTTTGGAGACGATGACACCAGAGAGTGACAGATATGACCCAGCCTGCCTGATTTGTATGGTTGGAGAAAAGCAGGTCTCAAAGATGTCCAGAAAAGCTTTGAAAGCTGAAGCCGGGTTGATGACAAAACATCTCAAGTTATTCAAGAATAGAGTTAAAGATAGCTTTGTTGAAGGTGGTTGTAATGATTTTAACCATCAACAAAGTGCCAAGCGAGAAGGAAAAGCTCCAAAGTTAGAACCCAGTTCAAGCCAGAGAAGCTCCTTGGCAAAACCTTTCTTGAAAGGCCACTTCTCAATTGGATCTAAGTGGGGAAGATCACTATCAGGAAATGATTCTGCCAGGAAGAAGGGGTTTTGGGTAAGATATAGAAAAGACTGAGTTCCCTCCTGTACTGCCATGACATTAGGAGCCTGTCTGTATTATCGTAAGAGTTTTATCACTTTCAGAAATATTGCTCTTCTTCCCTTATTCCTAAGGCTGTAAGAGGGAAGGTCGGAGTCTTCACACGAGTCAGGTTTCCAAGCCCCCAGTGCAATCAAATATCAGCTTCTTGAGTCCATCCTTTTTCTAAGTTAATACTATGTTCATGGAAAATTTCCGACACTGACCTATCTTATAACTTGTGCTACATCGTGTTTTTGGTTGCGGATAACCTGGTGCTGGGTAGGGCATGAGTTATGTGGATGTTCAAAGTATAAGGTAATATGGGTATCTAATGGTGGGGAGTTCAAAGTAATAGGTAATGTAGTTATTTTCATGAATTTTAGGTATGAAGTTTTCTGCTTTGGTAGATATTCTGGGTGACTGATCTGAAAGGGAACCTACAGTTTAAGCCATCGACGGAAGTACTGAATTGATTGGGAAAATGACTAGCAAGTATTATGTTGTCTTTTGCCTCTCATTTCTTCTTTGCTGGAATCTTATAACTGAAATTTACTTAATTGATCAATACCTTATGCAAAAACTCGTTTATATTTGGTTAGATAGAGTGGTGGGTCCCCAGGCCGCTTGCAAAATGGTGGAACTCAAGTACCATTAATTAAATGGAAAAATTTCACATTTGGTTTTATAAAAATGATCTTTTTTAACACTTTTATAATTTTAAAATCTTGATGTCACTCTTGAAAATGTGGATAGAATAGAGATTAATTGGTCTTATTTTATTGTTTTTGGATTAAGTGTTAAAAGAATTGAGTATATTTTTCTCTTTTTGGATAATATAAATAATATGTGTTTGCATTATATTTATATATTTAATGTGTTAAAATTATATAAGTTTTATGTGTTTGTGGCTTGTTTTATTTTAAATTCAACACATTTTATATTTGTGTTATTGATGTTACATATATATATGTAAATTATATTTGTGTATTTTCTTTTTATTAGGGAGAGATAATTCTATTTTAAGGTAAATGTTGAGATTTAAATTCACAAAATTATCAGACAATGAGATCGATAAAATTATCAGACAATTTATTTGGGATTCAACACGTCATGGCAGGAAAATTTCTCTTATTAATTGGTCTGCAATTTCCCAACAGTTGGATAAAGGTTTGTTAGGCCTCCAACGATCACTTGAGCACAAGACATCTTTCTTGTGGAAGTTGGGTCATACTCTCATCTCTCGACCAACCGCTTTTGAGTTATAGCTTTGCACCAAAAATATAGAATGACTGTTCTCTGTCCTCGTACTATGATCAACCGACTTGTTCCCCTTCATGGAGGGCGTTATCCCACACTTGGGCTCATTTTCGGAAAAACTTAATTTGGATCCCTGGTAATGGTAGAACTGTTCACATATGGGATAATGTTTGGATTTCGGCTTTTGGCCCCCTACGTGATTTTATACCTTCCACGCCCAGTTCCAATACCATCAATGATTTTAATGTTGTATTGGATTCTGATGGCAACTGGGATGTGCCTAAGCTCTCGTCTATCCTCTCGGGTAGCGTATACCTCACATCTTAGGCATCAAATCACCATCTAATGTATATGTGCAGATAGTTGTGATTGGAAATGGGGCCTCAACGTATATGTTTACTGTTAATGATGCCTATGGCAGGCTGGTTGCAGCTAGTTGTGACGCCGTTGACCCGCTGTGGAAAACGATCTAGTCTCTTCATGCCCTCACCATGTTTGTTCCATTCTTTAGATTGTCCCTCGAGACCGCATCCTTACCAACTAAGAGTGTTACTATTGAGGCCTTGCCATTGATCTTACATGTGCTCTTTGTGGTATGCATACGAAGACTTCTCTTCACGTTTTACGTGACTGCCATGCAGTGAGGATGATAGGGGATGGCAACAAAGTGATGAACGTTGCTCAAAGTCGAGGAATCAATCCTAACGGTCTAGACTCAATCAGAGAACTAGATGGAAGATAGATTAGATTGTTGTCGCAATCTCGGGTTTGAATGAGAAAGTTTCTAGAAATTAAGATAAAAACACAAGATTAATATTAAGGCAGTTAAGATTAATACAATGAAGATAAACGGATGATAAACAAAGATAAACAAAGACGATGAATAATACTTAGTAAAAACTAGAGCTATGGTGGTGATAGGCGATAATGGTGATTTAATGATGATGATGGTGGTAGTGGTTGATAGATAGGTTTCCTACGAACCCTCCTAGTTGCAATCGACTAAGCAAACTCGATAATCGGCTTTAACCAGTCATCCTAATCGTAATGAGAAGGTAAACACGAATGTGAAGATCTCCCTCACGAATAACTTGAAGTACTTAATGATGAAGAATGCTTCGAAGGCACAAGACAATCATCACTTGAAAAAATATTCTCACTTTGTATTATTAATCCAAAGAAATATGATCTTCAATGGTGAATGAAGCCTCCCTTTTATAGGAGAGGGGTTTCAAGGTCCTAGGTAACTAATGAATAAAATAATAATAATTAGATATAATGTTTGATTCCAATTTCTAATAAAATAATAAATATAGACTTAAACTATAATGAACTTCCTATATTAAATTATATTACAAATAATCATAAAAATATTGAAAATTCGTAATATTTACAAAATCACGTATTAATCCCGTATATGAATTTCTACATGTGTTGTCTTCACTAAAATGAACATATCTTGAGTTCCCGACATCGGATTGACGCGTTTCAAGTACCGTTGGAAAGCTAAGAGGACAGCCGGTCGTATCTCCATATGACATGTCCACAAAATAACACCTAGATACCATTAAAAAAGTCATCACAATCTACTATTGTTGTGATATTTTTTTCTAAGGCTTCAGACGTGTGAATCATGCTTGTCTTCCTTTGATGTGAGGCTTGTGGTGCATGTATCATCTTCTCTCTCTTCAAAAGGATTCTTCCTGGAATCTGAAACATCAAGAGAGAAACGTTAAGCCTTTTTAAGAATTCACTTGTATTTTACTTATCAAATAGGTATGCTTTGAATCTTCGGAACTTTGTTCTTCTAATAAGTTCGAGTAGGAAAATTAGTCCAAAGAAGCATGTATTCTCATCATCATGGATTCTGGAGCATGTATCATTCCCCCTCTCCTTAAAAGAATTTATCCCCAAACCTAAATATCCAAGAGAAAAAGAATTAGATGTGTTGAAAGTAAAGCTTGTTAATCATTTACCTCGATCAATGTGATGTGTCTTTATGTGTTTTAGTAGTTGTTTCTTCTTTGCTTGAACTAACTTGTTGTTTTTAAATCCTCTTTTTAATACTAGTCAAGTAATTCGATGAGTAGGTTGAAATTCAACACGGCGTTGACCATTGATGGTTTTGTTTGCAATTGTTTTAGATGTTTTGTTCATGGTTTTACTCATGTGTGACCAAAAGAAGTGTTTAGAAATCATGTCAAGTGGATTGTTAAAGTAATACATTAAGTCACTTGAGTGTTGTTCATGAACTAAGAATTCTTGGGAGGAGCTTTGTGGAATACATGTTCATTTGAAAAGGAAAATCGTCTACAAAATAGAACTCGTTAAAAGTACTTTTAAAAGAATGGATATATATTTTAGAAATCATTGAGTTATCATGATATAAATCGCTAAGATTTTCAAGTCTCATAATAGTAACATGCTTTTGAGAGATAAGGATCTACCTTCGAGGTAGTGCATCTACTATTTTATTCTTATCTTATTCATTTGACCACTTAAATGATTCATGGTTATTATGGATGAAAACCTTTGCTGGAAGTATGTTGTGTTGTCAAACTTCAAGTGTTTGAACCTTTTTAAAAAAAAGGTGTAGATAAGATTATCATCAAAATAGATAACAACATACTTACCTGTGAAGTGATTTAGGGTTTTCTAGGTGTAGCCCTTTTGCAGTAAATCTAACTCTTTTGTTTCTTTGGGATATTTTGTCTGATGAGATATGAAAGAACATTGAATTAGATTGGTTTGGTGTTCTTTCTCTCTTTCCAGTGGTAATCGTTAAGTGGATCACGTATCACTTCTTGAAAATCCTATAAGAGAGAAATAAACACACTAGGCAAACCCTTATTAATGTTAGAAATTGAAATAATTGATTCCTTAAAACAAGCAAGGATGCAAGACTTTTTGTGAATAAGGTTCTCTCGTTATTTTATGCTCACATATAGATTTTGAGTTACTCTTTTCTTCTCACAATTACGTTCACTCACCTCTCGTGGGAATTTATTCTTTTGGCTTTTATAACCAGTGACCCCTTTTGTTTTTGCCTCTTTTTCATTGTTTTTTCCCTTTTTGTGTTTCACCACACTCCTCACAAAATGTTATCACTTGACTTTCAAGTGCATCTTTTATTTCCAATGGTGTAAGGTTAAGTGACTAAAGATTGATATCTTCCATTACAATGTCGCTAGCATTGTACTCATCATTGTCAGTGTCCGATTCATTATTTTCTCTTTAGGATCAAGACGTTCCATTTTTTATTCCTATAAAGAGTTATCATTGTAAAGTAAATTGGGACATTCATGACTAGTATGGTCGTATCTTTTGCATGTAAGGAAATGAATATCTCTTGTTTGGGGTTTTTTTGGGCTTTTGACCATATCTTTTTTTATCCATTCTAGGATTTTCCCTTTTGATATCCCTCGATTCTGTTATTGCAATAGAAATTTTAGGTGAATGAGAAGAAGTAGAAGGTGATGATGTACTTTGGTATTGTTTTATGAACCAATATCTTATTTTTTGTTAATTCTCAAAGGTGATGACTTTTTGCATTTGGAAGGTCTATGCAGCCTTGTCGATTAAGTTCATTAAAGATGTTTGGATTGAGACTTTTTATGAACTAGAACGTGGTTTTATATTCGTTCTCACAAATATTTGCTTGTTTCATTAAACAATCCATCTCATTGTTGTATTTTTTCACAGATTTACGACCTTGTAAAATTTTAAGTTTCGTTCGGTCGCACGTCAGTCTTCAAGTAAAACGAATTCATTTCTCATTATAAATTTGAGATCATCCTAGGTCTTGATTCATATGTGTTCACGTACCTTTTTCTTGATTGTCCACAAAATATTGGCATAACCTATTGAAGTTGTGCTTCAGTTGCTGCTATTTATAGTCAAAATAACCTTGCTTTGTTTTCTCTTTTTTTCTTTCAAAATTTTCATTTCCTCGTTGTTATAGATTTAGGAGTTTGTTTATAATAAATCTAATTGTTGCTTGGTTTTAGGATGAGATTGTTATTTCTTTTTGTATTTAAACAACACTTTACAAAAATTCCCAATAAATTGGTATCAGATCCTTTTTCTTGAGGGACCTGTAACTATTTTTATCTTGACTTTCTTCTTCCATGGATTTAGAAACGTCTTTCACTTCATTTTAAAAAATTGCTTGGAATTGTAAATAAAGTAAAAGTACCCAGTTCTTGATTTCCTGATTCCAGATTAGTTAAAAATTTCTTGTATATGTTTTTAAAAAATTTGAGCTA